AAATAAATAGTAAATAAATAAATAAATTTTAAAAAATAAATAAGCCCCAGAGATGGGAACGGGTCAAAGGGACACAGCAGCCAACAGACACAGCTTCCCGTTCACGAAAGCTGGGATAACGTGATCAAGAAGGAAGCCATCCGGGGCTTCCATGGTGGCGCAGTGGTTGAGAGTCCCCCTGCCAGTGCAGGGGACACGGGTTCGTGCCCCAGTCCGGGAAGATCCCACATGCCGCGGAGCGGCTGGGCCCGTGAGCCATGGCCGCTGAGCCTGCGCGTCCGGAGCCTGTGCTCCGCAACGGGAGAGGCCACAGCAGTGAGAGGCCCGCGTACCGCAAAAAAAAAAAAAGGACGCCATCCTGAATTATAACCCAAACAATCAAATAAATGTCCATGAGTCCACACCGATATAACGATGGAATCAATAAATGAATGGGGAGAAGAGACAAATCCTTGTAAAAACACCCAAAGTGGGTAGTTATTCTACCATAAGGGAGGGGCGTGTGCGCTGTGCCTGGCGACATCCTTCCAGAGAGGGCACCTGTGCCGCGGGGACCGTGAGCCACACACCTGGGCCATGCGATCAGTGATGAGTCACGGTAACGGCGGGCGCCCCGTGAGCATGACCTGAGGAGCGCGCTTACCTCTGTGCTCTTCCTCCCAAACCTCCACCCCAGCCTCATCAGGAGAAACACGTCAGACAAATCCCGGTCAAGGGGTGTCCTACAGAACACCTGTCCGTACCCCTCAAGGCCATCAAGGTCACCAAAACAAGGTGGTCCGAGAGGCTATTAGAGCCATGGGGACCCTAAGGAGATGTGACCACTAAATGTCATGTGGTGTCCAGATGGGACCCTGAACAGAGAAAAGACATTAGGTGAAATTAAGGGCATCTAAATAAAGCATGGACCTCAGTGAATAATAATGATGTAAATAATAATAATAATAATGTAAAGCAGGAAGAAAAGAAAGGACGGTGGACGTTTTAGGAGCTGGTGGAAATGGGTGTATCTGAGAGCAGTGCAGGCCAAAGGGTCCCGCTTCGAGAAGTGGAAAAGATCGGGCCAAGTGCTAAGGGAGCGGGGAGGGGGTATGACATAATGAGGGCAGGCGGGGTGGGGTGCGGAGCGGGGCTGGCCCTTCCTCGTTACACAAAGGCAAGAACAACCCCCGATTCCATCAGCCACAGCGGGAGCAGATTCTGCCTCAAAACATTCCAAACTCCTGCAAAGACCACCCCACCTCACACAAGAGCAAGTGCCCAGGGCTCGCCCCCCTCAGGTGGGCTGCGGTCATCGGCGCAGGTGCTCCTCGTGTGCAGGGCCGGCGCAGCGCTCGGAGGTGGAACACGAGTCAGCTCCATCCCCCTTCTCTCGGGAGGACAGAACCGTCTGTAATCCACCGCCCACAGCAACCGGGCTCTGAGCACCGGCTCACCTCAGCCAGAGGGAGACCTCGCAGGAGATGAAGCTGCCAGACGTCCGCGGGAGAGGGTTGCTGGCACAGCAGGCAGTACCAGGAGGTTGCGTTCAGAAATGACAAAGCGGTTCTCTTAAGTCACCAGCCTAGCGGCCTGTGAAAAGGAGGAACCATGGTTTCCAACACCCAGATTACAACATAACCCCCCTGGAGACTTCCCACGCAGGACACCTCGAGGCCACCAGGAAATGCCTGGCCAGGAGCTGCTGTTGAGAAGGTTTCTGAGGACACTCGGGTGAAAGTCTGCAGCGATGGCTCCTGGGCCAGGCTCAGCAGGTTAACCCACGGCTGTCCATGGCCTCCCAGCCACAGAGAAGCTGCATTTGAACAAAGGGAAAGAAGGAATGTTTGAAGTCCCCAAGGCCATCAAGGTCACCAAAACAAGGTGGTCCGAGAGGCTATTAGAGCCATGGGGACCCTAAGGAGATGTGACCACTAAATGTCATGTGGTGTCCAGATGGGACCCTGAACAGAGAAAAGACATTAGGTGAAATTAAGGGCATCTAAATAAAGCATGGACCTCAGTGAATAATAATGATGTAAATAATAATAATAATAATGTAAAGCAGGAAGAAAAGAAAGGACGGTGGACGTTTTAGGAGCTGGTGGAAATGGGTGTATCTGAGAGCAGTGCAGGCCAAAGGGTCCCGCTTCGAGAAGTGGAAAAGATCGGGCCAAGTGCTAAGGGAGCGGGGAGGGGGTATGACATAATGAGGGCAGGCGGGGTGGGGTGCGGAGCGGGGCTGGCCCTTCCTCGTTACACAAAGGCAAGAACAACCCCCGATTCCATCAGCCACAGCGGGAGCAGATTCTGCCTCAAAACATTCCAAACTCCTGCAAAGACCACCCCACCTCACACAAGAGCAAGTGCCCAGGGCTCGCCCCCCTCAGGTGGGCTGCGGTCATCGGCGCAGGTGCTCCTCGTGTGCAGGGCCGGCGCAGCGCTCGGAGGTGGAACACGAGTCAGCTCCATCCCCCTTCTCTCGGGAGGACAGAACCGTCTGTAATCCACCGCCCACAGCAACCGGGCTCTGAGCACCGGCTCACCTCAGCCAGAGGGAGACCTCGCAGGAGATGAAGCTGCCAGACGTCCGCGGGAGAGGGTTGCTGGCACAGCAGGCAGTACCAGGAGGTTGCGTTCAGAAATGACAAAGCGGTTCTCTTAAGTCACCAGCCTAGCGGCCTGTGAAAAGGAGGAACCATGGTTTCCAACACCCAGATTACAACATAACCCCCCTGGAGACTTCCCACGCAGGACACCTCGAGGCCACCAGGAAATGCCTGGCCAGGAGCTGCTGTTGAGAAGGTTTCTGAGGACACTCGGGTGAAAGTCTGCAGCGATGGCTCCTGGGCCAGGCTCAGCAGGTTAACCCACGGCTGTCCATGGCCTCCCAGCCACAGAGAAGCTGCATTTGAACAAAGGGAAAGAAGGAATGTTTGAAGTCCCAGCTCGAGCCCACACCCAGCGGAGGACCCCCCCCCCTCCTCCACTGGCTAGCTCACTAAAGCAGCTGAAGCTTCCCCAGAACTGACCTGATTCCCTGGTCGGGAACTGGGCCCTCGAGCGACCACGGCTGGAAACCCGTGAGCAGTCTCAGACCCCAGGACCAGTCTCCCTGGCAAGAGCCCAGGCTGGCACCCGAAGTCCACCTGGGACAGAGCCCAGAGTGAAGCCTACTTTTTAGGGCAGCAATGAGGGTGCAATGCTTACGTGCTGTTGATGGAGAAGGTGCCGCCCTGGGCCATCCTCCAGAACGTGGGGTCATTCAAGGGCACAAGCTGGGGGTGCTCAGAGCAGATGGGCAAGAGAATCAGACTGTTCAGGAGGAAAGGGCTGTGGGAACTCAGCCACCCCTGCCTTCAAGTACAAAGACAGAAATAATTTCCTAGGATGCTTTTTCCCCTCCACAGTCTTCAAAGACAAGTTCCTGGGTCTCCCAGACGTCTCACTAGCAAAGACACACTTTGTGGAAAAATAAATACAACTTCCACCCGCTAAATGGGAAACAAAGCCACGTCAATGAAAAGTAATCAGACTGACTCGTTTTCACTTTTGAACGGGCTACAGTTGCAAAATGGAAGTTGACCTCGAGATCTGCTTCAGTAACAGGGCATCTCAATTGAGGCCTCCCCAGTCACACACAGGGGGCTCTGATGGTGTTTCCATCACACAGATGGAGCCCGTTTGCTTACCCAGAGGACGTGCACCACCCAGGAGCAGAGAGGCAGGGCTAGAGGCCGCAGCATCAGAGATCATGGGCTCTCCGCAGAAACACTGAACACCTCCCCTCCAAAACTACTGCTCATGAAACATTGTTCACCAGCCTCTGCCCCACTTTGCTTCCTGTCAAGGACTGAATGCTTGTGTCTCCCAACATCCATATGTTGAAGTCCTAACCCCTAGATGGGATGGTGTCTGGAAGTGGGGCCTTTGGGAGGTAATCAGGTTTGGATGAAGCCTTGAGGGTGGGGCCCCCATGATGAGATTAGTGCCCTTGTAAGGAAAGAGTCACAAGAGCTCTCTCTCCCTCCAGTACTTGAGGACACATGCAGAAAGGTGGCCATCTACAAGCCAGGAGAGTGCCCTCACCAGAAACTGAGTCAGCTGGCGCCTCAATCTAGCTTCCAGCCCCCAGGACTGAGAAATAAAGGTCTGCGGTGTTTCATTACAGCTGCCAAGCTGGCTGAGACACCCCTTTCCCAACAGAGAGCCCCAAGCCTGACCTACTTGTTTTCCATTAAATTTCTAAGAAAACAAAACTGTTGTCTCACGGCTTCCCTGTTTTGGCATCTCTTAAGAACAAAGCCACACCCCACCCCCGGAAAAGAGATTTCCTATTCAGCAACTGCCCGGGCGACCCACACAGAGGTCAGCAGAGACAGAGCTTTTAGTTTTGCTTCTGTTATTGGAACTCGTGTCTTCAAGACAACTAGGCAGATGGGCCAATCTAAATACCTGGAATTTGTAGGATTCGATGCAGCTTTTAAAGATAGACGTGCCTTAAGCTCACAGCCATCACTCGAGCACCCCCAGCAAGGAGCCTATGGGAGCACAAATAAAGTCTAAATCAAAGTTCTTCTCAAAATCCTTTTTAATAATAGGTGTGGCTCACAATGCTGCAACCGATATAAAAACATTGATTCCTGATTTCGTATAAATTAACGTTTATCAAGAATCATTACGATGCATCAGGGTACAAGTACCGAATGGTAGGGCCAAAGATAAATCACAGTGAGCAGAAACGTTTGAAAGTCACACAGGTGCCGAGACAGCCGAACACCTTCTGTCAGAGGCCAGGTGTGAAGACGGGGCAGCCAGGGGACGGTGGTCTCCGGGAGCCCGGCTCTGCAGGGGGCTCCCCACCTCCCAGGGCGGTGATGTACGTGGGGGACCAGTCACGGGGACCTTGGCTACTGGCTGGCATTTCCATCCGGTCGCCTCCCTCGAAGGCAGTTCTACAAAGTGACCCCCAATCTTCTCCTCTGACCGTCCGTGCACCCCGGGGGCCGGGCCTGGGCGCATCAGGCGCAGCACCCAGATCCAGCCTGTGCGGGCGGCCTGGAGCTGGCGATGTCCACGGTCTGCGACAGCCCCTGGGCCCTCTGCTGCAGGATCACAGGCACCACCATGTCGAACAGGGTTTCAAACAGCAGATCCACGTTGTGCCCGGTCTTGGCGCTGGTCTCGAAGCACATCTGCTCCGCGGCCGGCACGTCCTTTTCGTCCAGCATCCTGTACTGGAGGATCTTTTTGTAAAAGGCCACCGCGTCCTCTGGCTGCACCTGCTTCGGCAGCCTGGGGGCGGCACAGCCACCACCGCCAGCCGGCCCAGGGCCCTGCCCTCCTTCCTGGCCGCCCTCCCCGGGCCCCTCCTCACTCAGGTCCACCTTGTTTCCCACGACGGCGAAGAGGCAGTCGGCGCTGACCGTGTCCGTCAGGCCCAAGAACCTGTCCTCCAGCTCCAGCAGGCTCTGAGCATGGTTCACGTCGTAGGTGAGGATGACGGCGGCCGCCCCCCGGCAGTACATGGAGCCCAGGCCATGGAACTGCTCGCGCCCTGGGGGCGAGGGGGGAGAAACATACAGTTACCTCTCCTCTCTGGCAGTGCCCCCCGACCATGCCGCCAGGGACCCCCGGGAGGGACCACGGAATCGTGACCCCAGACGTAGGTGTGGCTGGAGCTGAACGGGATGGAGACCCTGCTGTGCAGAAAGACGGGGTGATGGCCAGTCCCCACGGCCAGCAGGTCCTGCACAGCCCCGTCCGCCCACTGCAGTGAGCCCACGAGACGGAGGAAGACAGCCAGGCCCTGCTTTCCCCCTAATGGGCGGTGGTGTGGCTTGCTCCCACCTCTGCGTCTTACGCGGGGGTGTTTA